AGAGACAAACAGACATACAGATGAGAGAGAGAGAGAGAGAGAGAGAAATACATATTGATTGATTCCACTTCTTTTCCTCTATATTGTACTCTTCCATTACCAGAATTTCCAATCCAACAGAAACCGGGCACGTGTCCAATCAATTATTGCAACTGCATTCAACCTGAAGATGATAAGTGCCGGACAGATTATGATTGTGAAGAAAAGAAAAAATGTTGTTACTATTGTTGTTCCATGAACTGTGTGAACCCAGCATAAGAAGCTCTGGGATTCAGGTATTACTTTGCATATACTTTCTTCTGAAGGATGCACTGGATCCAATATTATCATATTCTTAGTGAAAGGTAAAATATCATTGACACTTCATTCATTTTAGCCATGTAGCCCATTCTTTCCTTTCCTTCTCTGGGGAATACAGATACTGCTTTCACCTCACATGCTTTTTATTCCCTTTGCTTCAGATTAGCTGCCGTAAACTTCGAGCAACCACGAGCAAACTTAATTACTGGCCTTTTTAGAGCAGTGGTCACCAACCAGTGGGCTTCCCCCAAACTCTGTCAGAAATGAGTCTTTGGGACCCTGCAAGGCATCCTGCTTGAGGCTGCACCGGTGTGACAAGTCTCATAAAGACTTATTTCTGGTGGAGTTTGGGGGAGAGAAAGACTGCTGCTGCTTCTGCTGCTTTCCTTGCATGAAGCCAAAAGTCTCCCCCCTGCCCCCCCCGAGAATGGAGCTGGAAATGGTATCCTGTGATCCCAAATAAAGAATGATTAATCGGTAGGAAAACGGGGTGGGGAATTTTCCTGCAAACTTTTTGGGGGATTTTCCCAGGGACTCTGATCTGCAGGATTTAAAATAATGAGTTTGGTGGTCCCTGAGGTCCAAAAGGTTGGCAACCCCTGAATTAGAGTACATTAAACTTTCCATGGCAGCTGGTCCTTGATTTTTATTTTAAATTCTTCAGCCATCCATTTACAACTAGGATTCTTCCAACCCAGGTTGATAGATGTTTTTCTTTGTTATATCATTTGGCTGCATCCCTGACTCTATCCCCAGCAAAATGTTTCCTCTTGAACTGGTTTTAAAATTAGAAACATACAGTAGGTGCTTGTTTAGCTACTTCTCCATTGTTGTTCAAGTTTAACATCTGATTTGTAATCTATTAACAGGCTTCCTGGTTGACGAACGTGCTTTGGCAACTCCATGTATTCAACTATGTTACAGCATATTTCTGATCCCTTCATCAGCCTCAAAGTGATATCCTTGACCAGGATATCAAAACAGCAAGATATTTGCCAGCTGTTATACTCCTTATTATTTCAGAGAACTTTCCTTCCTTCCTTCCTTCCTTCCTTCCTTCCTTCCTTCCTTCCTTCCTGTGGGCACAGCTTATTATAATAATGAAATATTATGAAAAATGAAGAAAGATTCTTTATGGTAATGGAAGTTGTTGTTTATCACAAATAAAATTAGCTTCTCAGATTTCACTTTTCATTTCTTCTTTTATTTACCTACAGAATGCCATAGTGGTAATTTAATTACAAGATTTCCTTTAAGGCAGAGGTGTCCAATTCATCACCTGCTGGCTGGATGTGTCATGCGCTGGCCATGCCCACTCCTGTGCTGGCCACGCCCACTCCCAGTTTAGCAAAGGGGGAAAAAGTTGTGAAATTTCACATGACAAAAATGTGCCGCCGCAAGTTTGACACCCCTGCTTTAAGGAAAGCTGTACTCCAAGCATCTAAGTTACAACTTAGGTCATTCACAAGAGCAAACACATATGCTTGCATCCCATGTTTTCAGTTTGAACCCTGACTGAAAGGTCTCTAACTCATTCATTTCAATCCTCCTTTCAATCAGCTCTTATCCAGTTGATCCTGTTTCTCTTTTTAAGTACGTTTATTTTCCAAATCCATATCACCTCCTGTTTTCCTCTGCAGGTCCAGGAAAATTTGTTTATATCCTTTGGAAATGTTATGATATTCTAAATTTAGGGAATTCTAAGTATTATTACCAGAATAAATATGGGAACTATTAACTACAAGTAGCATGGGCAGATTCTTACTACATTGATTTGTCTCTCTAGTAACTTTCCCCCTCTGTTTCTTCTGCTTCCTCCCCCTTTATCTTAACAAGAGAGAAATCACTTGTGCAAAGGAAAAAATGCCAGAGATTAGTATATTGTGCTCAGTGTGACTTCATCTTTTCGAGGTCAGTTCAACACCTCC